CATGAGTCATTAGAGCTTCCCTGGGAATTCCCACTCAATATGGCCTCCAAGATCTTGGCTTCAATTCAGTAGGGCATAGCCATCCTTAAGACTCCCCAACTGGGTTGGATTTGAAGCAGAGAGAAGGCCTATTGGCCAAGTGAGGGTGCTCTGTACATGTAAACCTTTCTGCGCTCTAGATAATCGTTCTCTCTGTGCTCATACCATCTCAATTTCTAAAAAAGGTTTCCAGACCACATGGATTTTATGATATTCAAGGCGTCTCACTAGAAGCCCAGCTTGGATCTCTTTGGAGGAAAGAGAGGAAAAAAGAGAAAATCAAGCTGTGGTGAACTTGCTTTTGCAACCTTTTGATAGCACCAACTTGTGGATTAGGGATGTAAACAGTTCAAAACCAACTTGTGGATTAGGGATGTAATAACAGTTCAAAGTGTCAGGGTCATAGTGCAGATAGACGCTCTCCAAGAAAGTCTCTTGGACAGAATGAGAGTGAATACAGACAGCAACAAGGGTTTTCTGCACGGCCTTCCTAGTCACGGTGTGGACTTTAAAACTTGGAAATAACCATACAGAGCCAAGGCTGCAGCAAAGGGGAAAGTGGGGCTCAGGAGGAGGCATTTCCTAACGTGTTGTGTGGCCAAGGGTCTGTGGTCTAATGAGTGTGTGAGTTAAATTAGTTTTGTTCATGCAAGATTGCTGTGAACTTTCAGCATAATACACTCTTGAGCAGGGGTCCTCAAACTTTTTAAACAGGGGGCCAGTTCACTGTCCCTCAGACCGTTGGAGGGCCCGACTATAGTTTAAAAAAAACAAACTATGAACAAATTCCTGTGCACACAGCACATATCTTATTTTGAAGTAAAAAACCAAAACGGGAACAAATACAATATTTGTATTTGCATGTGGCCCGCGGGCTGTAGTTTGAGGGCCCCTGCTCTTGAGCATCATGAATCTCCAAGATGGGGAATGTCCATGTAACACTTCTAAAAAGTATTTGACCACAGAACTCTTTCGTCATCTTTCAGGGCTGGTTTTCTATAGAATACACTTTCAGCTATATGGTAGCAATGATATGATGATATTAAAAACTAGAAGCCCCGTGCACAAAATCGTGCATGGGTAGGGTCCCTATGCCTGGCCAGCTCTCAGGACTGATCAGGTTCCCCGT